CACAACCCTAAACCCTAAACCCAAGATTACAAGGAAAATCCCAAAGCGGCTCAGGAGTTTTTTAGGACATCACGGTGACCTCGTGGCAGAAAGTGGGCTCCGGCGTGAGGCCTCGTGAAGCGCCGTTTTGAGACTTTTAGGGCTTGGGTTTAGGTGTTATACGATGTTGGCCTTATACTGCTTATAACGTTTAGGGCTAGCAGCTAGCACTTCCGCTCAGAATTTAAGGGTTGAGGGTTAAAGATCTGGGGTTCGGGGCGAGCTCGCAGTTTAGTCAAGATTAGTCTATACTAGTTGCTTGAATAAGGTTTCTTACAAGAGTTCTGTAAAGTTGTGCGGCTTGAGAGCTTTGGGGTCGCAGGGATTTTTGGGTTTCAGGGTTTAGGCCGCCGCCTTACGTTTCATTCGCTGTTCTTTGGGTTGAGATACTTTTGTCGCCATACTGGGGTCCAACCGAAACAAAGGTCGTCTAATGAAGAAGCAGCGGTTGTTTGCTCAGGCGGAGTTTCGAAAGTTGGGCCTTCCATGGCTTGGGATTTTAAGACTGTACGGTGCCCACATGAAACATCACTGGGTTTGGGGTTTTCAAAGGCTCGACTCTTCGATCTTTTGTCGAAGCGTCCAGGTCTGCGAGCGGAGCTTTCAGCTGCCGCATAGTGAGGGCAAGTCCGAGGCTGATTCAGGCCCACCACTTAAAGGATCATGGGACTTAGTAAGTAGGGTTATAACTAAGGTAACTATACTTATAACCCCAACTAGGGGACTTATAACCTTACTTACTAAGTCCCATGATCCTCCAAGCATCAGATCAGGAAAGCATCTTGCTGTGCCCCCTGCAAACCCAGCATAAGACTCACGAACAACACAGGGACATCTGCTCTTGCAGAGCCAAGCCTGCAGCTCTACGCTTGCAAATTCTGACAGCCTCCCTGCACCTGGCACCTTGAGGCCTCGTTCCGGAGCCTGCCAGAAACTCGATACACGAGGTCCCAGTTCCTTTGGTGTGCAATTAGATAGCCCGTGTGTGTTGTAAATGTCAGTGTCAGTCTTATGTGGTTGATTTGTGTCTGGCATGTTTATCTCAAGAGGACCACCGACCAGGCATCAATACCCGAAAGCGACAGAAGAACAACGATGATGATGATGATGATGGTAGGGCTCAGCAACATCATAAGCGTTATCATCCGAAACCTGTGCATAGTCTGCTTTATCAGAAAGCCGAAGATCTCCCCCCGACTCGTGTGGCTGTTTTCGGGAGCTCCGGATTTAGAGTCCGCGTCGGGGTTTCGAGGCTGCGGCTGAATCCCGACAAGGTCGCAGACCTCCTGAGGCCTACACACACTGAATATCTAGAATGTTGATTTTAATGGTACTAGTAGGATTCAATAGGGAATCCTAGGGAATAGTATTCTCATGAAGTAATAAGGCCCCCGATATTGCACCCCAACAAATCCCTTAAAGAAAACCGTCTAGACCCCCTTTAGACGGAACCCTTTAACAGAAGTCTTAAAGGAACCCTTTAAAAGAAGTCTTAAAGGAACCCTAGGCCCCAAGCGCCCAAGGTTTGCTAAGGCTCTTGGAGGCGGGGAAGGTCGCTTCCTGAAGATCGAGTCGTCCCGGCGACTTCACCTCCTGGACATCCGCGCCCTTGGCTGACAATATAAGAATACTAGAATACTATCCCTAGACTATAACTTATACTAGAATAACAAGCAACCCAGTATAACGTTACAGGGGGGGCGAAGCTTTGGGGGGGAAGGGGGCAACCACCCGAAGCAGAGCCAACCCCGAACCACACCGCAGACAGGCAGGGGGGAAGCAACCTACAACCACCCACACCACACCACAGAGAGGGGAACCATTGGGGGGGGAGGGGGGGAGCCCGGCCGAACCGGGACCTTATAAAAGTATATATATATATATGTATATTCATTTACACATTTCTGTGTATATATATATATATATATATGCGTACACATGTGTGTATATATATATATATGCATGTATATATGTATGCATAAAGCCACGTGCCGACCCCGACTCGACAACGTATCCTTTCCCGTTGCCGTGTTTTCGTGTATTGTCCGGAGACCCGAAACCGGACAGAGCTTGCCGGAGCAGTGTTGCGCCAGGTGCCGCCTACAAGGAAGTGAAGCTTGCATCTGCACTTGAATCATTTTATAGGGAAGTTCACTTGATTAGACATAGGTCCCTTCGGCGGAAGTTTGATTAAGTATATTGTATCATCAATTACTGCTAGCAGCATGGTCATACTGCACTGCCAAGCTCTGGACGAGAAGCTAAACCCTGGGTTTTTGGAGACTCAGACGTCAGGAACACCGCCGGTTTCGGCCCGCAAGAGGTCTTCGAGTGCCGACACCACGACTGGCCAGTGGGCTGGATGGCGTGTAGAGACCTTTGGGTGCTCTTGAGCATCGAAGAAGTTTCTCTTTGTTTCGATATGCAGGGGTTGGGCTTGCGGGATTAGCAGCACGGGCCCTGAAACCCCAGACACGAGAACTTAGACTCCATACGATAAACTACAATCCTCAACCCTATGCCCGAAGCTGCAAACCTAATGTAGGGGCCTTAATAATTAGAATGGAATTTTGGGTATATTATACTATAATTATAATCAGGAGCCCCCACAAGCCTGCTCTACTTATTACGGCCGCTACATTCAACCCTGTGGATTTGGGGTTCTCGAGTAGGTCTTCAAAGGCAATGCCCAGAACAGCCAAGGATCAGCGCTTCGTGAGATACCACGGATGCTTGGCCCAGCATTGGCGCAGTTTTTGTTTGCGCAGATTGGTTTGGAACAAGTGCAACAAGTTGTAGCCCGACTGCGACTCTTTTGCCACAAGAACCTCTCCGAGCAAGAGTCACACTCGTTCCTAGATCCTTCCGTTGGGCATACATATTCCCACACCCAGATAGTTTGAACCCTCTGGGAGCTAAAGCTTGAAACCCCTAGACCTTGTAACCGCTAGATAAGCCCCGGCCTGTAAATCCTTCTGAAGCCGACACCGTGAAGAGCACCGAGGACAGTTTTCAAAGTGCAAAGCGCATGAAGCACAACCCGGCTGTGGATACCGCGGAATAACGTGCGCCTTCGTCCACACAGAATTTGAGTTTCCCTACCTCGTGTTCAGGTTTCAGGATGCAGCTAAGCTCTATAGGGTTAATAGCTCTCCCGTATCATTTAAAAGCTGCCTTACATCTTGTCAGATTTTGTGTCTCTCAAGTCTGTGTTCTAGGCTTTATGGGCCTAATCCCCCGAAGCTAAATTCCATATCCACGCACCCCAGATTATCCTGGATTCCTAAACCGCTGAAACGCCAGGTTGCGATGCTTTCTGGGGCTGGGGGGAGAAACTGGAGTACTTCACAGGGAAACCCTGGGACCTACCATGTAACTGCGGTCTATCTGTCTGCGAGGACACGGGCTCAGCTCCCAAGGGTTTGGGGAATTTGTCAGTGATAGGATTTCGGGGAGTTTAAGGTTTCGGAGATTATGGGTTATGTTGATATAGACTTTAGGGGGCTTCCGCTCGAGATTTTAGACCCGCCTGGACTTCCGGAGCTTTACATCGAAGTCCTACAACTTTGAGCCCAAGGAAACCATGAAACCTTAACCCTAAACCCTATAAACCCTAAATCCTAAACCCTATAGACCCTATAAGCCCTCTAAACCCTAAACCCCAAACCCTGAACCCTATAAACCCTAAACCCAGAACCCTAACAGGAGAAGCCGCAGGATCAGGGCCAGGATGTTTCTCGGGTCTGCTGCGCGCACCGCGCGGGCGGCACTTCGCGCTGCGACCGGCGAGTTCGACCCGAGTCGGTGCCCGAAGTCAACACCCCAGAATCTTGGTCCTTTGCTATGACATACGATGATATACACTAAGATACGATAGTATGCTAAACTCTGCGACAGTATTGTGTATAGAGTATACTATAATCTACTGTATGATAGCCTTCCTATATCATATACATCTGCTATGGTATACATACCGGCAGGGTCTGGACGGTCTAGCAGGGTAGGTATCCGCACGGTTTAGAGGGCTTCCAAAACCAGCCATGGGTATGGAGTGGAGTAGACTGTTTGGTCGTCGTCGACGTCGTCGTCGCATGAATACTCGTAGTAGAATTAGTAGTAGTAGTAGTAGTTGTTGTTGTTGTTGTTGTTGTTGTAGTTGTTTGTAGCAGCAGCAGGAGGAGCAGCAGTACAGTCGTCGTCGTCGTCAGAGTAGTCGAAGTATCCATTCCCCAGGAAGACAGCGAGTCGTTGACATCCACGGCTCTTGCGGACCTGGGGAGCTCCTTCCGGAATGTCACTGCTTTCTGGCAGACATGCAGGCTCAACAGGTCGGGGGACACAGTTGCTTTCATGAGAGCTTCGGGCTCTAAAGCTGGAGAGCTGTGCAGATGCATGCTATGAAGCTGAGAATGGACAATGTTCAGAAAGTAGGGAATCCCAAAATTTACCCAGAAGATTGAACACCCAAATCGAGGGCCCATCCGACTGGCCGTTGCCAGGCAGCTTCGCTTTTCAGACCGAACCGTGGATGAGCTGATCTTTGCATGCCACCGGCTGGCGACCCGGTATCTACTCCTCAAGCAAAACTTCGATGCGCTGGGGCAGTGGTGCCGCTTCGCCCACCATGAGCTGCGCCGCGGGGCAAACGGGCAGAATCCTGGCTTGTTCCCACCCACCTGGCCCGGCGCAGCTGCATTGCCCGTCAGGGATGCTGAGACAGGAGCTTTGGAGGAGATCAGACAAGATCACTTATGGAAAAGGCCGCATGATGTGGCTCAACTACAATTCTTGGGGGAAAGCGTTCGTCATCTCCGACAAAAGGCGCAAGAGATGCAGATGCTTGGTCTGGATTCTCCTAGAGGCAGTCCGTACCCCGGGAACCGGGCCTCATTCGTTCCAGATTTGCGACTGGCTGACGTTTTTCGTGCTGGGGCACTGGAATCAGCTGCTAGGAGAAGCAGCCTTCAACATCTTTTCCAGTTGAACCGCCCGCCGTTTACGAAGAAAGCTGTTGTTGATTTGTTTTTGCTTGTGCATTTCACCAAAAGAGACCAGGTCCCAGATTTGGCGCATGAAGACTTCGTGGTCGTGGATCGTGTGCTACGGCCGCAGGTCGCAGAGGAGCTGCAGACGTGGCTGGCGCAAGCCACCATCTGGCACTCGCCAAAGGATGGCATCTCGGACAGCGACCAGTCTGGCTTCAATATGGGAGTTTCAGAAAATAAGGGTACCTTATTTTGGGGTCCTTATAATAAGGATCCTATTATTTAAGGTATTATATTAGGGCCCCCTGTTTTTGGAGACCCCCATGTTATAGTCAGAATGCCACTTACACAGGAACTGTACGAAGAAGAGCTGTGGCAGCCCCGCAATCATCCAGCATATCAGAGTGCAGCACAGCCCACCCCGCCCTCGGCCCAACACAAAATTCTGCACAACGTCTGCACACCACCACCCCCCCTCACTTCCCTCGCAGGGTTGCGGGTTCGGGGCTGCTAGAATGCTTTAACCCAAATATGTATCCCTAATTCCGGGATTGCAGCTGCGAAAGCGGAACTTCCTCTAAATCCTGCACAGCCACAACCGAGAACCTCGTCACTCTACTCCAGGCCCTCCTCAACCCAATCACCTGCATCCCATGTGGGTGCGAAAGCAGAACTTGCAACCGGAAAACCCCAAGCCCAAAACCCAAAAAGAAAACACAGGCGGGATTCTCCAAGCCTCCCTTTTGGATGGATTGAACGGCGAAGGCCTCATCGAATTGATCAAGGCATCCGGCTCCTGAAACTCTTTGGCGATTGGGGTTTAGGTGCCTAAACCCCAAACCCTAAACCCTATACTAAACCGCCCTGGCGTCTGCCGTGTAAGGCCTTTTTGAGTTTGGAACCTTGTAACTCAACTCCAGAGCCTCCAAACCGAACTCTTCCCTGTGCAGCAGGCATTCGCAGCCTCCAAGCCAATGCAGAACCTTGGCTGGAGTATTAGGATTCTGGGCTTTGGAGTACCATGTTTGAATACTTTTTTTTGGGGAACCTGTTCCCTTTGGTTACTTCAAAGCCCAGGATTTTGTGGCATGGCGTTGATGTCGAAACAGAAACACAGGAACCTACAACATGGGCTTGGCACCAAGGGTCATTCAAGACGAAGAGAAGAACAGACAGTGCCCTCCCGACGGAATCCGGCATACCTGTACCTTTAACACCTTTTGAGTTGAGTAGTTATCTTGAACGGCTTCTTGAGATTTGTAGGGGCATTCTAAAAACAGAATCTTTTCTCCCAATTACGGGCATTAAAGGCAGATTCAAGCTCCCAAGGAGCGTGCTGCAGAAGCACCATGGTGCTGCTTGGTCGCAATTCCTGAGGTGAAGCAACCCAAAAGATCACCATGAAGCCCAAGCTAAGGACATGTACACTCTGGATGTTCTTTGTCGGGAGTAATGCAGATTCTTCTCCAGGGACGAACATTTAACATGAAACATGTCTTAGCACTCCTGGCTTCAATCCGCATCGCGAAGTTGACTACCAGAGGTTTGACGAGATAGCCTTTGCGCCAACTTAAGACGAGATATTTGGAAGCATCTCAGGCCAAGCTAGTCCTGGACGACATGTGGGCCTGGAAGTATGACTTGGCGTGGATAAACCCGTCATTGCCCATTCAAGCTGATGGCTGGTCCGGCAGTGGGCCGGATGTGTTGGCAGTGGTGTCCTTCAAGGACTGAGCCATGAAAAACTTAACATCCCTGACAGAAAGGCCCTTTAGTCTATGAGCGCTGCTCTTTCGTGCTGATTACTGCTGCTTCAAGTCGGCTGAGAGCTTGTTTTTATGGTCTTACAGTTTCAGAATTTTTGCGACCTAGATATGTACCAGAAATACCTGGGTTTTCAGATTGAAACCTCTATAGCAGGGATCCCTCAGTAGCACACGAAGACAGTATCTTACTGTTGGTGACCATGGTGGTGATGATGCCGCTCGTGGTAGCCCAAGCCATGATTATCAGGATGGTGATGGCGATGCTGTTGACGGTGCTGAAGAAGACGAGGATGGCTCAGCTCATCGTCACCACCGCCATCAGTACGGTTTAGGGTTTAGGGTTTAGGGTATCCCATTCGGCGGAGTGCTAATCTAACTAGTTTCGGCTGGTAGCCGCTGCCTTGACTGCGGAGGCAACACATAACATGCGCTTGCGGTGAAGCTGCTGATTTAACCTAAACCCTAAACCCTAAACCTTTGCATCCCTTTCAGGAGACAGGCGCCGCAGATGGCTGGAGATTCGCGAGGGGCAGTGAGAAGCGCTTCATCCCGCGCAGGCACCTAGCTCGATATCAGCTGGGCAGGCGATGCCTAGAAGATTTGGGGTTTAGGCTTGTAGGGTTTAGGGTTTAGGGGTCTAGGGTTTGGGGTTTAGGGGTTTGGGTTTAGGGTAAGGTTTGGGGTGTAGGGTTTGGGGTTTAGGGGTTTGGGTTTAGGGTAAGGTTTGGGTTGTAGGGTTTGGGGTTTGGGTTCTGATGGCTTCAGGGTTGACTGGGTTTCAGGTCAAGGGGGACAGGGTTCCCCGCCCTGGCCGAGCAACTCCCGCAACCCCCATCTCCACGAGGCTGAAGATACTCGTAAGTAGATAATTTAGGGGCCTCAATAATTGCCTATACTATTTTGGGTGGGTTCCTTACTAAAAACATAGTATATCACACCACGAAACCCTATTCTAATTTTTACGGCCCCTACATTACTCTTAGGTCCGCAGCTTTGTCCGCATGGCCGAAAGTTGAAGCGTCAAAATGTCGAGGACAAATCCTGGATGGGGCCTTTAAAAGGGTTTAGGGTTTAGTGTTTTGGTGCCTGGGTGGTGATGTATACAGTAAAATGACGCAGGATTTGGTCTACATGTGTCTACGGCAGTGCAATGATTCGGTAGAACAAACTGTAATTTTTGCTTGGAGACTGTAGAAGCCAAAAAAGTATGTGAGCAAGTCCACTCGAATCCATGCATGATAATTGCCTGCCGTCTCAACAGCCATCAGACGTGCACCGCAAACACTTCAAACCCAATGCCAAATCCCAACTACTGATCCCAAGATGCAGACAAGGCAGAACCAGCTGGTCTTGTGGACAGCATGGAAGGGGGGCTGGTCTCTCTCCATGGACACCCGACTGAGTTGGTCTAGGGCTTGCTTTTAATCCCGCCCCTATAAACCCATGAAGCATTCGATCCCCAAAACCCCAAAACCCTAAAGCCCTAAAACCCTAAAACCCTAAAACCCGAAGGCCAGCATCACAACAGAATCAAGATCCCGACCCTGGGCCTTCCCATGATCAGAGCCTTCGTAGAGGCGTTAGCCCAAGTTATGTGGGTGGTTGTCAAAATTAGGGTCCCTTTTTGGGTCCTTATTATAGTACGGCACCTATTATTTAGGGTACCCCAAAAGGGACCATAATTTTGACAACTACCCATGTGAATCCAGGCTCGAGACATGGATGTCCGATACGAGGATCGACCTGTCGACTTATTCTTGAGCTTTCGCAAGAGCCTTGGCCACAAGGTCTATCCTGGCTTAACAGCGCGCCTCGGCCCAAAACCCTAAACCCTAAACCCTATAGACCCTAAACCCTAGGCGCCTCGGCAATAAGTGGAAGTTTGCTGTGGGAACGGATAGCACACCTGGTTTTGGCCCAAAAAGCTGAAGCCTGAAACCCACTCCAGGCACACATCGACCAGGTGGCCGGCTGAGACCAAGGCTGGATGACCTCAGAGCCCCTTTTCTTCCAGAGATTCCATAAGCACAGGTTTAGGGTTTAGGGCTTAGGGTTTGGGGTGTAGGGTTTAGGGTTTAGGGCTTTGGGTTTAGGGTTTAGGGCTTAGGGTTTAGGGGCTTGGACCAGTACCATTGACAAGAGCTTTGCTTCAGCCTGAAGCTCTTGGCATCAATGCTTTAGGGTTTAGGGTTTAGGGTTTAGGGTCCCTAAACCCTAAACCCTAAGCCCAAGGTCTACCACAGCCGCCTCATGACCAGCACTTCGCCAGCTCCTGCGGAGAGCAAGGCGGAAGAGCCGGAAAGAAGGAGGCTTCAAGCTTGCAGTGATAGTTTAGGGTTTAGGGTTTAGGGTTTAGGGTTTAGGGTTTAGGGTTTAGGGATGATGATGGCCCCAGTGGGTCGAGGAAGGGGTTCTGCCCCGCATTTGTAGCTTGACCGAATCTTACCATCGACGTATACACAGCGTACAAGAAGGTCATCGGGTATTGAACCATAATTTGGTAACGTGGCCCCTACTGCACCTGTGGAATCTGAACACCTGGCCAGGATGGAGCGGTTTCTTTTCGCACGAGCATAGGAAGTGTATCTTGACCTGCAAACCCAAGCCCAAAACTGTCTCCAGCCTCCTCCCTAAACCTAAACCCCTACAACCCAAACAGTGTTTTTCCGAACCCTAGGAGCTCTGGAGTATGCAAACTTGCCTACGATGCAAAAAAGGTTGCCATGAGTGGGCCGCTGGTCATCCTGCTGCTTGAGCGCAAAGGGGCAGCTGACGGCAAGGCGAAATCGGGTTTAGGGTTTAGGGTAGAGCATCTGTTCCAGCTCATCACCCGTCGGCAACTGGGTTGTCGGTCTTGTCAAGGATGGTTTCATCCAGTGTGTATGTATATGATATATGTTATATACTACCTGTATTGTATTATACACACATGTGCATATACATATGTATATGTATACACATAGCATCTGTGTTGTATTACACAACATATGTATGTACATTCTATGTGTGTGTGTATATATATATATATAGTATCATGTGTGATGTGAGGCATCGCAGATGACACATTCGCTCGCCAGTTGCCTCGACATTGATCCAGCGTCAATGCCGTACTAGTCTGCGCATCAGCACATCTACTAGTAGCAGCCTCTAGCAGTAGCACTGCCTGTTTTTATCTTAAGCAGTTCGTGTTGGCGCTGGTACATCCACCATACTTTCTGATCTCAACCATATTTCTGTGGTATTCTGGGAGGTGATATGTCAACGAAATACATCCTGTGCTGACAGTCTTACGATGACACCCTGCCTCTTTCAATTTCTGAAAACCCTTGATTCCACAAGCCCAAACCCTCCTGAGCCATGAAGCCTCTACAAGTCTGGAGAAGAGCTTCCTAGGCAAAAGTAACAGTTAGAGGAGCCCTTAAAGGAGCCCTCAACCCCTGAAACCCTAAACCCCTTAAAGGATCCCTAAACCCTAAACCCTAAACCCCTTAAAGGAGCCCTGACCTTCCATACCGTGGAGGAGCCCTCCACGGCCTTGGAGAGGTTTCTTTCTGGTCCGTTCCGGCTAGCTGGAGGTCGTTTCCACTGGCTTTCAACTACCGTCGCCTGTCTGATTTGTTGTTTTGTTGTTCCATCTGTCTGGGTTTAGGGTGCTTAGAGACTGTTTTGGGGTTTAGGTTGTCGCAAGGGTGGAGAGTATGCTATACCCAGGCAGCATCCGGTCGACATCGAGTACACCGGGCCATCCGCTACAATCTGACAAACGACTAATTCATGCGATGACACCAAATGTCAAGGAAAGCGGATGCTGGAAAAGTGGGGTTTGGAGGATTTTGCCCGAGGCCCTAGGGGCCCTAGCAGTTTTGCCAGTTCGGTAGTTGCATTGCCGAAAATTTACTGCACGGAGAGCAGAGGCCCTAAGCCCTAAACCCTAAACCCTCGGAACAGATGTGGTTGTCCGAAGCCTCAGCCAAAGTGGCATTCGACCTAACTTAACAAGGCAGGTGGAAAAGAGGTGACAAAAAAAGAAAAAAGAAAACCCTAAACCCTCCCCGTAGGCATCCCGAGGCCCAGGACCTGCATCGGCAGAAAGAGCCTTTCCGCAGCCGACTGAGGCTTCAAACATTCCCATCGAGTATGGACGAATTCTGCACGGAATCCCGTAAGGCCCTTTGCAAGTCAATGAAAAGCTCCACAGAAGCCGATGCATACTGAGCCGAAGCTTTTTAACATCGCGAGCTTACACCCCCGATCCTGAATCTTCTGCAATTTAGGCTCACACCCAAATCCGTCTACCCAAGAAACTCTAAAGAATGTGAACCTCAAAGCGTCAATCATGCGCGGGGACTAGTGTAACTTACAACAAGGTCTTGAAATTTGAGTTCAGGCTTTCAGTTTTGCGGCGGTTCAAAGTTGGCTCTTGGATTGAACTTCAAGGCTCAGTACTGCTTTTCAAGTGTGATGGAACTTGCCTATTCATGTTCATACTTTTGGGTAGGTATGCAGCTTCGCATGTACCTGTCTGCGATTGAGTGTCTGGGGGTGTCAGCCCTGGCGCGTAGTGTTTTGAGACTCCTATTCCGAGCCATGCGGCCGCTTTTGAAGATGGCGCGGCGGCTGCACAGCAGTGACGTCAGACCGGGCCTCGTGTTGGTGAAGGGTGGGCGGATCCTCGACGAGGCGCGGCACCACTAAGCCCTAAACCCTCAACCATAAAGTTGCATTTGCAGAGCTGTGGGACTTTGAACTGTAGGGATCGAAGATCTTGCAGGTTTCGGTCAAGAGAGTTTAGTACCATCGACAGTTGAGAATCAATAGCCCTCGTCAAGACAAGTTAAACTTGAGTCCTTAACGGTTGTTGGGTTCAATGAGTCTAACCATATGGCCTACCGGGACCTATCCGTCAGTTGCTTCATGTGATGAGCCCTGTTTGTGACACGACATTGACGAAAGATGTTGTATCCCTATAGAACTGTTTCAAGTTTTCCTTCAGAAATATATAACACCTTCTTAAAAAATACATATGTGGACATACACAGACAGATAGACAGACAGACAGACAGACAGACAGACAGACAGAGAGAGAGAGGGAGAGAGGGAGATAGATAGAAAGATAGATAGATCTCTCCTCCTCTGTCTACACGCATCTATCGCAACTATCTATCTATCTATCTATATATTTAATATACACCTCTTAAGCCCCTTCAATCTGTAGAACCCTGCAAGGTCGGCAAAGAGCTGACCCAGAAGCTCCTGGCCTACCCTGCGGTGGAGATCATGGCCGCAGGGCGCCAGGGAACAGCCCTGGCCCTGCAGGCGGGAGCGGATTTCGAGAAACACAGATCGATAGTTTACCCTTTGTAGCATACACATGCATCTCTATGCCTGTGTTTTCCACATGGTGCGTCGGTGTAACATGCATATTGCCGTGTGTAGACACATGGTATACAAAGGTAGGTAAGGTATGTATGTATGCATGCATGCATGTATGTATGCATGTATGTATGTATGTATGTATGTATGTATGTAGGTATGTAGGTAGGTAGGTATGTAGGTATGTATGTATGTATGTATGTATGTATGTATGTATGTA